CATAATGAGGATTTCGGAGGCCCAATACTGTAACAGAACCCCCTCCCATTACCTTACATTGTCGATGCGCTCACACCTTTTAATGGCATTTGATCATCCACGAATCCTTACCGGTCGTTTGATTGCACCTCGTTGAACTCTAAGAGTTGTGAACACACTTCTGGCCGGTTAGATAGACTGACGTACATAGATTGTTCGCCTGCAGTGGCGTTCTCTATTTCACCAACAGTGCATTACTTGGTGTAGTGTCCTAGCTAAGCTAGATTACTCAAAACACGGCCTTGGAGCTCCTGCAGCCGAATGCCACATGTTCCGCTATTGTTCAGTATATCCTCTCTCTTTCCCTCTATGAGATCCAATTGGCTGTGCGATTCATCTTGGCTGTGTGGAGCTGTTTGACTGTGATATCTATGGTCATCGCTGCATGGGACAATCGAATCAGTTGAGGAATTGTTCATGTGTCTCATTCTATACCCACTACAAACTTGCGAATCGGGTATCGTCCTGTAACTCGTTCACTGTATACTGCTTTCGATCCATTATCCTCGTGTTTATGTGTATGGCGACGTTCTGTACAGAGAACCCAGAAGGCTCAAAAACTGGTCTCAACTAACCTGGAAAGAGCTCGCTTGTTCTGAAATAATAATGAAAAGAAAATTGCTTGTAAATCGTCTGACCTAATGCTTCGTTGCCTGCGTCTCACCTGTTCACCGTACGCGCTTCCCCTGTTACGCATATTGCAGTATTGGTTGGCCTATGCAAAGCGTCGCGGGCATCTTCCTTATCGCCTATCTGTTGTCCGTTTCAATACCTCTGCCATCTCTGAAGGTAAGTGAATAAAATGTATGTATTTTACACTAAGTAGTATATGAATAATTCGAAAAAAATTCCAGGGGAAGCACATGGCCGGTTTAGCGGTTCTTACCGCTCGTCAGGCATGCATATATGGAGTCTTTTGTCGCTTCATTCATATACTTGTACTGAGGAAGTGTATTTTCGTCACCATAACCTCATTTTCAACAACGGATAACTTTGTGTGGAAAACTCTCAGAACCAATCTCTCGTTGAATCAGGACCGTGGTTCGATGTTTTGTAGATGGACTAGCTGCTGTTAACCGCAGCAAACGTTACTGATCAAATAAATTAACCCGGTGCTGCGAATGAGATTATTGTGATGTATATATATATATATATATATATATATATATATATACAT